GAGAGAGAACACCAAGGCAGGCAGGTAAGCAGGCCAAAGCAGGGCCATTCTGTCCTCCTACCCTGTATCTCGTCTCCGAACTCTTCGCACCTTTGGGTCTCTTTCCTGAATCCTGCCCGCCGCCGTTCCCTTCCCCCCACCCGCTCCTCTTTCCGCCATTACTCGCCAAGCCGATATTGGCCCAAAAGCCCAAACCGAACGCGCCAGCCCCAAGGCCCCAAGGTCCAGGGCATAATAGAGGGAAACATGAATAACAGCAGAAGCCTGAAGTTAATGAATTCGACCCCCATCGTGCGTCACGCCAAAAAAAAAAAAATAAAGAAAAGAAAAAAAAAGGGACTGACTTTTGAAACGAGAGCAAGAGCCAAGTTGTCCAAAAACCTTGGCTTGAGAAAATACAGCTATTGTCTAGTTTCCGAATTTTAGCAGTTGCTGAACAAGCCCGCCCACGCGCGATATCTTGACTCTTCCCAACCCCCCGGGCCCCTGGGCCTGGTCTGGTTCCTGGTTCCCCGGACTTTGCACTCTGACCTAAATCGGTCGAGAGGGTGGACGCCGGGCGCCGCGGCGGGCAAGGTACTGTGCCGTAATAAACCAGCTGCCAAAAGCGGAATCGAATATGTATTGTTAATATAGATGCTGCCACACGTCAACTGCACGCCAAACCGTAACATAGGTAAAAAAAAAAAAAAAACCTCCGGCCGGCCGGCCGTTCCCCTCCCATTCCTTTCCCCTCCAGGACCGCACAAACAGGCCGCGCTAATGTAGCAAAGCCGAAAAGAGGTGTGCCTTGTAACCCTCCCGTTTTGGGACGAGGCCTCGAGGCCCTCGTGAAAGGGGGCGGCTCACGACACAAGGTAAGTAGGTCCCTAAGTCGACTACACGCGCCCCCAAGAAGAAGTTGCATATCGGTACTCAACGCGGTCTTCGTAGGTATCCTGTCCAGAACGGGGATGGAATAGATGGAGTATGATAGGACAGACATGTTGCTTTTTTTTGTGATGTGCCCGCCTATGCCTACGCCTACTTTGCTTCTTCCCGTCCTCCCCCCCGACTTCCCCGAAGCGCTTGCTGCATTACGATGCCAATGTGATTCACAGAAGTTTTATCCCCGAGGTCTCCCACTTTTGGGGAGGGGGGAGGGGGGGGAGGGGGAATACTTGCTGAAATCTCGAATAGGTACACCGGAATCGAATTAGTTGTGATTTCCACTATACATAGAAGAAGAAAAAGAAACATGTTTTGTTACTCTCAGATCTCCTCTCCGCCTTCCTACACTTTTTTTTGTTCACATAATCGGTATCAAAGAGCATCTCAAGAAACGGCTGCTACTTTGTTCCGCTTCGTACCATGTTGTTGAACCTCATCATGGCCGTATGCAGAAGTAAGTTTGGGACGAAGCAAAGAAAGGGGTTGAAGAAGCTACAAATACTACAAAGTACATTTGCGTGATGTGTGTGGTAGAATCGAACAAAAATGTGTAGTGAGCGTTTAGAAGAAAACAAATCGAAACCAAAATGGTCAAAAGTACAAAACAAAAATAAACAGACGTCGTTCATGGATGCGAAAACTGCGCGCGTGTCATCCGCCGTGTATGCAAAATGCGTCTTTCCATCTGCATCTTCCCCCCTTTTTGTGGTTTTTTCCTTCCACCCGCAAGAGCCTAGGCATCAGAGCTAGCTCACCACCAAAGCCTCTCCTCCGTTGGATTCAATGCAGTCAAGTTTTCGAGAGTCGATGCTGTAGGAGTGTTGGTGTAATAAACCACCAAATACTGCAGTGAAACTGTCAAGTGCACTAAATTCGAGAGCGGGAAATAACAATGGTGATCCTTGCATAGTGCCAAAAAAGAAGTTGATGACAATCGCCGAGAATGAAAAGCCAAAATCGTCTAAAGGAGCGTCGAGAAGGATAAAAACAAGCAGAAAGGCCGTAGATTGCGTGGTTCGCTGTGTTGCCCCCAAAGTCTATAATGTGTGCGTTGTGTCATGAGTCGAGATAAAGGAGTAGGTCGAGAAGAAGATGAAGTAAAATAATGTGACCCGTGGTGTTCGGGGGTATCTCTAGAATTAGGCGGATGGGGAATCCAGCAAAACAAAAGGACAATGCCACTCGGGAGTCGCAGGTATGAGGTAAGAAGCTGAAGTGAACAAGTCGAAGAAGTAGTTATGGCCTCGGTGGCTGGGGAAGAGCTGGCGCAATTCTTCCGGCCTTGCGTTCTCTGTGCTTTTCGACCCAAGCTGTTACATGAAAAGACGTCGAGTAAGTTGATTGCAGATCTGCCTCCCCTACCAGCTCGCTGAGTCGAAGTGGGAGGACGGCGTTCGTGGAGGTCGATCTGGGTGCTTCGGATGGGTCGTGTCGTTCCAAGTTGCATGATGGAGATCATCGCTAAAGGCAAGCTCCTCTTCATCACTGAAGCTGCTGCGTGTAGATTGTGTCTCCAGCCGGGGGCTCAGAAGTTCCCGGTGGAGACATTGAATGCTATAAGGGAGGGCCGCCCATTAACTCCTGCGCGCGTTCTCGGCAGGCAGCAGGGGTGAAGCCGGTTCCGACCTTGTTAGCGACGATACGCCATTTCTCATTCTCGTAGTCTTGCAGCGCAGTGCGAAGCTTTTGGTCCTGGAGGAGAAATCAAGTCAGAACGCTGCGCGCGGTCTTGCCATGCCACGCCGTCTGGCTGTGCTACATGGCATCGTAGTCAGGGGAGGGAAGGGCACATACTGTTTCATCGGTCCATTGGGTGGTCTTAGCTTTGAGCTTCGTACAATAACGCACCTGGAGTGTTCCTGATGATCTCCCCGGGAAGAAATCCGCGATTTGCTTCCATGTTAGGGATTTGTTCTCTTTGAGATCGATCAGGAGCTGGTCGTCTTCGGGTGTGAACTTTAGCTTCGGCCCCCTTGGCCTCGGTGCCGGAGTCGGCATGCCTGCTTGTCCCACGACGCTCGGGGCACCGCCTCTGTCTCCGCCGTCACCATCACGCCTCATCATCTTGGAAGGGGGTCCTGTATCGGGTAGTCGATGGTGATGATGTGTAGGAGCCTGGACTTGTTGGGTCGCCTGTGCATAGGCGGTACCCAGAGGAGTCTGCTGCATGGTCTCGAGGTCCGTCTGTTCAAGGTCGATTCCGGGAACGGACAAGTCAAGCTCGTCTGGCCTCGGTCTTTTCGGTACTCCATGGGGCGTATGGGATTGCGTAGGCGTTGCCATGGATGAATACAAAGGAGCGACGACTGGACCCGGAGCGCCGTAGTGAGGCGGACCCAAGTGCCGGGCATGGCTCATGTGGTGCCCCGGATCCATTAGGACCTGGTGGGAGTGGTGAGAGTGGTGAGGGTGCTGCTGGTGTTGCTGCATGGCCGGATGATGGGAGTGATGGCTAGTGGGCGGCTCGTGGAGAGTGGGCGTGTGAGCGGCGCCATGATGGAGAGAGCTCCTATGGTGTTGATGATGTGAGGGCGTCGTGTCATAACCATGCTGCTGTTGGCCCTGGTCGCTCGGATGCGACTCCTGTGCAGAATAATCGACATTGTAGTCCCCTACTCGATAGTTGCCCGCCAGCGTGCTTCCGGCACATGGATCCCGCCAGAGCGAACCGCTCTGGACGGTCGCCGGGCTCTGAAGTGAAAGAATTGGTTGAGCGAAGGCCCTCTCGGGCGGCGTCGGGAGTGGTGATGGCTGTTGGTGCGACGTTGCGGGGTCGCGATGGTGATGGTAGTCTTTCAAACTGCGATCCTGTAACAGCGCTATGGTATCGCCGTGATGAGACCCCCCCTCCAGACTCAACGAACATTCGTGCCCGGGAGGTGTGGAGAGAATTTTCGCGGTATTGCTGGCAGCGGACGAGAATGGTGTCTTGTGGCAACGGTCGAGCCCTTGCCAGAGTTTGCGGTTATGATGATGACCAGCTTGATTCTAGCGGTAGTGCTGTTGAGGAGAAAAGAGGAGAAGGACGAAGAAGACGACGACTATGATGATGATGACGACGGCTGAGAAATAAGACCAAGTTGGCGTTGCGGTTTCGTAAAACTTGTCTCCCGGTGGTGGAGAGCTATCTGTCTGTCTGTCTGCACGGCCGGACGGATAGTTCCCTTTGACTGGCGTAAGGTGGGAAAAAATTATTAAGACGAAATAGAGGTCGAGGTAACCATGCTACCCTTTTTCAACTGGTTGTTGTCACGCGCCGTTTAAGCTCACGGGATCTTCCCTTGACTTATTATAAACCCCGTTTGGCCCTGGACAAGTAATATAGTAGTGAAGGGGTCAAAAGAGAGGAAGCGCGGACGTGGGCAAAGGCTGCATTATATCGTCCGATGTGCCTTATCGAAAAGAGGAATAGAGGGCTGTGTGTGGACTCTTGCTCTGGGGGTAGAGAGAAGGGAACGAAGGAGAGGAGAAAAGCATGCATGGGAGGGGTGAGGCGAGAGAAAGAGGGTACATCAACTGCCGCTGCTTTTGTCACCGACATCTCAAGCACATACGCGATTCGCCATGTGCGAGACGTATTCTGTTCCTGAAAAGGTTGCGGAGACTCAAGTTAACCTTGCCCAGTAGGTGATGACGGTAGCATAATTTGGGGATCTTATGCCATGGGTTTCGCTGCCGGATATAGAAGCAGGAGTGCCCCCGGCCGGCGGTAATGATGCAACTGGCGAGGAGGGGTGGGCGTGACGGTGGCCAGTCTACATACCTTAGTATGATGGGCAGACAGGGCCGTCGGGGGAGACAAGCAATGAACAATTTCACAAATCTAAGAAACCTCCGGATGGATTCGATCCAACCCTGTAAAGGGAGGCCGGGCGACCCAGAGAGAAAGAGAAGGAGAGAGGTCTGGAAAACGCATGGAAGAAATCCAAACACGTTCAGCCGAATGAGGGATACAAGCTGAAACGAGCCCTACCATGCGCTCGCTGGTTGGGAAGGGCATAGCAACTGAGCAGCAGCAATTCAGAGGAAGGCCGCCCATGTTGCTCGGCCCCCTGCTTCACCGGGGGAGAGAGAGAAAGGGTACCAGGGTGGCAGCTCTTGGCTCAACTCAAGGCAGTTGACTCTTGAGCGCGAATGTGTGTGAGCCTGTGTGTGTGCGCGTGTGCGTGGGCTCGGAAGCTCAAAGTCCCTGGGTCATCCTTCCCCTGGCCTCCGTCCTTGACGGGGGGCTTGCTTTGGGTGGAAAACCACCAGCGAACAGCGTAACTTGGACAGCTCTGCCCATTCTGGAGAATACAGTGGAGTCTGCTGGGGGGCAAACAGCAGGTTTTGGGAGAGGAAATGGCTGGATAAGCACCAAGAAGTCATGCCTTGGCCCTGATGGGGGTATATCTGATGCAGGGAGGGTATACCAGAACCGTGAAGAGAAATCGCCGCTCCGGTACGCGATAGGGCCAGAGAGACGGTAAGGGTGCAACAACCACTCGACCAAGTGGGCAGATTGCCGAGGGGTGAGAACAAGGGACTGCCGGGTGAGAAAGACGGAGGGCACCAAGCTCAAGCTGGTTGTATCCATCCGCAATGTCAGTGAGAAAAAAAAGGACCCTTTCTTTTTTAGCCATGATCCCTTTGCCGTCATCGATGGCAGTCAGGGCCTGCTTCCACGTTCGAAGACCTGGTCAAAAGCTTCGGGATCGATTCGGAAGGGAACTGCAGTGGTCCCAGGAGGCAAATCATCCCGGCTGACCCAAGATGAAGACGTCCGCAGCAGGGGGATTTGCGTCCCAAACGCCAGAAAAGGCGTGTCAGTCGGCCTTCGCCTCAATGTCGATACGGTCAAATCTGGCAGGTCCCACAGGTAGATGCCAATGCCAGACGCAGAAACAGAGAGGAATACGACTGCGAAGGGACATGGCCGAGATGAGAATGACGGCGGTACCACGGCTGAGGTTCAGGTTCGGCAATGCGGCGGCTGTTGGACCAGGCGGGCGGCGCGCGCGTCGACGAGATGGGATGGTCGTAGGGTTGACTTGCACCGGACCAGACAAGACTGGTTAGCCTGTGGGGTAACAACTTTTTCCAATGAGGATATTTTTTTTGGGGGACTTGGGACGTGTGCGACTCAATGACCAGGTCGCACGATGGTGCCGTCGTCGAAACCATGGGATGATAGCGGTTCGCTCAAGGTGATTATTCGTCTGTTTGCATGGGCGCGCGCGCGCGCGCAAACGTGCACGCTGCCGCCAGCAGTTCGAGCTCCTCTCGTCTTCTCACGAACTTGAGGGCATCCCCAGATTGCCAGACGCGTGCGCTGAAGACGCGCACACAATCTTCCGCAGCCTCCCACACAACCGTACCACACCCCCTCTCTCACCTAACCGTGAGCCGGGAATGTGGTGGGTGTAAGCAGAAGGACGGTACATGGCGTAAGAAACCCCCCGGCTTTCGGCAGCAAGGAGATTGTGCGACTCAATGCACATCCCAGACTTTCGGTGCTTGATGGTAGGTCGGTCAGAAAAAGGCCTGGGGAGTGGCTCGACACTCGACAGGCTCGCTCTCTCGCCGCTGGGCAAAGGCGAAAGTCGCAAGTACCTTCCATGGCTCGTCGTCAGGGAGGGTAGGGCCGAACCAGTAGGAAGGACGCTTGGACGAGGAAACCTGGGACGAAGACTCGACGGGAGGGTGGCCAAGGAGGGCACTCGGACAGCAAGAGGACGGATGGCCGACGGAGTTTGGTTTGGCGGTACGTTGGAGAATTGGCTCGAGATTCTCGTGTGGACAAGATGCGGCTGGGGCTTGCTCATTGCTAGTGCTGGCGGCCAAGTTGACCTCATCGAGACATGGCGGATCATGAGAGGGGGGGATATGAAGCTGGAGCAGGGGGCCAGACGGGTATCGCATGAAGGAAACGCGTTTCACGCATACCTGGCAATTAAAAGATCAATTATGCGACCCAGGGATCCCGGGCAATCTTTCTAGAAGGAGTGGGACTCTATTCTAGCGTGTGGTGAGGTGCTCACCTTATTTCTTCGTCGCCCAGCTGGGGGAGGACTTGTGGTCTTGGGGTCCCATTCTGGAATTTCAAATCGGCGACTAGGGGGGGATCCTTTGGGGCGGTTCCTAAAGAGACAAACGAGGTGCCGCGAATCAGATGGCTGGGCAGTGGACAAGTCGGTCGACTCTGTGGGCACGGGGGATGTCGATCAGACGTAAAAAGAGGGCTTGGAAGGTGACGGAGTCGGCGATGATGTGTGGTGACGAGGTGGAGATTGGAGAAAATGCAGGGCAGGCCGCAGATGAGATGCTGATGCGCAGTCATGGAGCAGATGACGGATGGGCAGATGAGACGATGAGAAGAGCCCAGGAGGCAGACGAGGCAGTGACGGAGACGGAGAAGGGGACAGAAAGAGACTCAGCCAGGGTTGAGACTATCGAATCACGGAAGGTAAGAAGGGGAGGTTCAGACTTCGAAGTAGGTACGGAAGGTAGGCGCCAGGGACGGGAGTTGAGTGCAAGATGATTGAAGGAGGAAGAGATTGCGAATCTTGGAAGCAGCGACATGGAAAATGCGATAAATGCAGGTCCAAATTGAAGCTCCCGACACGCCGCAATTTTGATGTTTATTTTTTCCTCACATTGAGAAAAAGTGTGGTTGGTTGGGTCTCAGATTTGGGTCAAGTTCATCTCACTTATAAGTCACTTTGCTGGAAAATCAGGTAGAAAGATACATGGATTACCGATATACACTTTAGGTTCCCCAGGTAGGTGTGCCATCCTGATGCCGAGACAAAAGTCTCGGCTCTTTGTCTGTCCCAGGAAAGAGGAAGGTGCAATCTACAAAGTACAGAGTTATTAGGAAGATACCTTACCTTCCATGCTTCGTTCACGGGCCATGGCAATCTCCATCATCACCTCACTTTCGTAGAAACTAGAGATGAGACATGGCAGCCGGGCCAGACTGTCTACAAGAAAGGATAGAACAGGCAGAATCCGCATTGAGGGCCAAGCCTCGAGGTTCGACGTGTGTCGGCAAGCTAAGGTACCTTGTGCACGGTGCAAGGTACGAGAGTCCGTACCTTACAGACTCAGGCAAGGTACCTTATCTGGTACTTTGCAGGCTTCCTGATTAGCCGCGATGGTTTGACAGATGGGGCCGGCGGGTGCGCGTCAATGAGCCCAGGTCGAGTGTCATTGTGGAAGAACGGAAGCAGTAACCATCGGCTCACGATCCACTCTTGCCCAGGTACCTAAGGTAGGTTCCATACCAATGACCATCCATACCTTACATTAGGTACCTACACCTTGGTTTCCACTCCCGAACTGGGTTGATGCAGTGTTGCGTTCTTGCCTCCGCTTGTCACGATTCTGCCTATCGTCGTGCAGTTCTTGCCATGCCTGCTCAGCCTTGATGGGTAAGAGAGGGTTCGTCCACCTCAGCTCAGGAAGTTACTGTCGTCAGCCTGGCCCCTTCTCTCCGTCCGCCTTGACGTAAGGCGGGTGGTATCTTAGGTAGGTAGGGTAAGGGGCGCCCTGACATCGGGTTCCTCCCAGATTCCGTCGACCAGGACTGTTGCTTGTAAGTGACGGCAAGAACGGCAAGAATGCGCTAGATGCTCGCTCCCACCTTGCTGCATGCTGCCCTGCATGTTTGCATCTGCGGAAAAGGCGATGGAAGGAACGAACAAGAAAAGAATATTGTAAAAGTGAAGGTACCAATCCATCCACCTTACTTCGTGTGGAACTTTGGAGGAAGGCAACGAAATGGAAGTGCCATGTCGATGATTCCTTCCCGTTCAACACTAGGCCGAGAATGGGCAGCCAGCCAAGAAACCTAAGGCAACTTAAGTTAAGGTCGGCTGCCTTAGGTTGCTCTCATCTCACGTCTGGTCTGCGCCTCCAGATGACTGCAGCAGTGCAGACAGATGGGAAGGGATGGGATTCTCCATTTTCCATCACCAATGCCTGCCTTTGCGGGCGGCTTTGCCAGAGCGCACATGCATCTTGCGACAGCCAACAATCCGAAGCCCAGATGACTGCTGCAATTTTCGTCATCGTTCTCGTCCCGCATCGGAATAGATTGCTATTGCCAATAGTCGACCCCCTCTCCGATGCTGGAGGATGGACCCCGGAATGTCCAAGCGTGCCAACAACCCAAGCGTTCTGACCTACTAGTACAGAGTACGCAGGTACCTTACCTTGCACTTTTTGGCCAAAGGTGAAGTATCTTGCATCCATCTCTTGATGGCGCGGCGCACCCATATCACCGACCACACCGCTGCACCCGACTGATCCTTTGCTGCATGCGAGCCCCTTACAGAATGTCTGGCTGACTTCTTGCATGCATCGCATGGCTTGCATCTCGGTAGCTCGGCTCAGAAAGGGAAGTGGTGGGTAGGGTTACGATTGCGACTGCCAGCGGTACATCGTCCTCGCCCACGTTCATGGGCTTGTTGAACGTATCGATCCTTACCACGCCCTTCTTCTTTTATTCCGCTTCAGCTCTTCATCCACTTTCCGAACCGCGATCCCCCACGAACATGACGCCGCTTTGTGGCCTCGCCTTCGCGTCTCCCTTTTTACCGCATACTTTTCTGACTCTCTTACACGTGTCTGGGATTATCCTCTTCGCCCAGTCTTGGACGCTCGAACCCGCCGCAAAACCTTCTTTCACAGACTTGAGTCCGGACCGTCGGTATACACCAGATGACAGCCGGCGCTGTGCCTGTATCCAAGTTGTTGTTGCAAGCCAGGGCCACCCGTGGTCGATTTTTGGACTTGCTGGAGGGGCCTCTCCCCGGACTCGAGCCGAAAAAGTCTGCTGCGCTTCAGAGAAGGGGCATCATACGATCAACCTCGTTCCTGTGGCAGCGGTGCCCCTGCATCGCCTAGCGAGCCTCCAAGGGCCCTGTATCGCCTCAGCCCAAAGCTTGATGAACCTTCGTCCGCTTGGCGGTTTTGGTATCCGGTCGGCGGAAGCCATCTTTTTCAGTAATAACATGGAGTACGGAGTACGGATGGTATTACTAATTACCTTGTCTTTGCGTGACATGGTGCACGTACGGATATTCTCTTCTGTCTACGCTATCCGTAGTCCGAGGTGGCTAGCTACTACACCCCGCACACTGCAACCACCACACTAACAAACTTCCGCAACATGACTTTGGCGCTACACCAAAGAGCCACTTCTTCGTCTTTGTCTAAATTCTCGCAACGAATCTAAAGCTATCAACCCGTACCCTGGAGCCGCGACTAGTAATCGCTTCGTCCACCGGGTCCCCCCACTTGTCTCGAGGCCTGACTACCGCTTGGCTTTTGGAGATTTTTGGAGAAGCCCGTTGAGTCACGGGTGTTTGCAGGCAACCGGGTAGGGATCCCCGAAGTTGTCACAACTCACACTAAACTTGGTGGGTTTCTGTGCTAAACAGCAGGTCAACCTTGAATGCAGTTCAGGGTTCTCAGTCTTAATCCTCACGAGTCTTCGCTGCTCTTAGTACCCAGTTTCTTGTTCAATGAACCCGGTCAGTGTTTTCCTTTCGGGGACCCTTCACGAAACCAGCCCTGTCCAAATTACAACACCTGCCCTCCAGCTGAAGGTTAAAGCTGCAAACGTGTCGCGGGTTTGCGCCGGCCTGCCGATTCCGAGCGTCTCCTGAGATCCGCGACAGTCCCTCCACAAGACGTTTGATTTACCTTACGCCACCTCGCGCATTTCGGCTCGACTGACCAGAAACACAGGATCGTGTCCAAGCCTCGCATCAGCTGAGAAAGACGAGAACGATGTCGATACGACAGCGAGCCAGCCAAGGAAATTACCGGCTTCAGCTGACCTCCTGGATAACTGCCGAGAGGAACTTTTTCACAGCAATCACGAAGCAGAGTCCAGTAACAAAGCAAGAGCCAGAACCATCTCCGGGCTGCCTCATCTCCACTCACCAAGCCCAATAGTTCGTCCCTACCTTCTTGGAGAGCTCGCCCGATGCAGTGCAGCCTCCAAGTGAGTTGACGGGGGTTGACCCAGAAGTTATTTCGATGTCTTCATGCGCCGCCCTGTGGCTCATTCCACATCTGCTCGCCTGCGGCGTCGACCCTCTCAGATCGCCAATTAAGGCCCCCAAAACAGCCACATCTCCACGACCAAAAATATCCGCTCCTTGCCACACTTTGCTTTTCTCGAACCCTTGTTCGTCCAACGAGGATGCCAGGACGAGCCCCCATTCCCGACGGCCTGGGCCAAGAGACGCCCAGGACGGAATGAATCGCCAATGTCAGCCGCACCTTAAGCCCATCCCGACTCCATCTCCAAGGATGCCGCAGGGCAATGACGTTTCGTTCCGTGCTCGCAATCTCAGGACACAGACAAAAACGCCCGAGAGGGACGGAAACGCGTTCCCTCTCCATGGCAATATCTCAACCACGCTGTCGACATATTGGCCATGAACCCCTCCTTATCATCTTGCTACTAACGTGCCCCAGTTGCAATATCTACAGGGCAACTAGCCGCTCCAAATCGACCCAAGCGTGAGCATTTCCATCGCATCGGTGCTGAGCATCTAGCTGCCCGCCCAGGGCAACAAACAGGGGGTGCTTTTTTCCTCTCTCTTTCTCCCTTCCCGTTCTTAATTCTTGCCCTGGCGCATTAATGCATGAAATCTCCAATTTGCGCGGACCAACTACCCCGCTGAATCAGCGATTAGAATGCCCACCATCTTCAACGGCCTTCCCGCCGCCTTACCATTTGCAGCCCACGTCGTCCGAAGATCAAGCATCGACGTCGCGCAAAAAACTACAACGGTTGGAGCCATAAGCGGAATACGGCATAGCAAAGGCCACCACCACCTCAAAGCAGGCGGCAAGAAGTGGACGACATCGCCTCCACAGCTCCTCCAAAGTGACAGCTTTGTCGTCACATTTTGCAGCTCAACTCCCTTCTTGGACCCTAGCCCCGCGTTAACAAGCAGACATTGTGTGCCTGCGTACTTGTTTTCTGAGATGATCCCTTTCCTTCTCGGCATCCTCCGCCTGTACCTGCATGCAGTCCGCATGCGCGCAACACGGGAAAGGGGGGGGGGGATTTGGGGAGAGGAGGGGGGCTAACACGCAGGGCCCCCTGCCGGCCTTGCTGCATCTCCTAGATGAGTTTACTGCATGGAAGCCTAGGAAGAAGTCTACGGAAATGTCTATTCATGGTAACCACAGTACACTCCCGCCGCTGAAACTATTCCCATCTTGGAGACGCGCATGAACGGGTTGTTGCGGGAGGCGCAGCCGCTCTACGTATGTAGTGTACGTACGTTTTGTTCTTATGTGCGACTGATAATCCTCACGTTTATCGAATATGGCCATGGTTCACATAGTAAGGTACGGATGCAGCGGCGAAGGGAGCTTTTCTGCTCAATTGATGAGCTCCCACCTCTGGTGGTTTGGTAAGGTAGTATGCTCATCCTCACCTCTGGCGGCATGACAGGTCCAGTTCCTTGACCATGTCCGTGAGGAATTGGCTTTTTTTTTACCAAACGATCTAGATGGAGATGGATCGATGGGAAAGCCAGGATAGAACAGGTTCTGTCGGGCAGTTGGCATCGAATCTCTCTTCTCTCACACAGCTTTGATGTTCGCTTGCGATTTCTGTGACACCCGCCGCCGCCGCCGAGCCCACTCAACATGTCAAATACAAAGTGACACTTGGGTGACAAGTCATGGATTGCATGATGACAAGAAAATTTTCCCTATTCCTTTTCTCTTTGAAAGTGATACTCGGACAAAAAAAGTACAGTTTGGTTTCGAAAAAAAAAAAAAAAAGTGCCTGGGCTGTCAAAACCTGTCAAACGCCGCCTATTTGCCTTTAATCGCACACATGTTCATGCCCCCCCCCCCCCGCCCTCCCTTCGCCCTGCCCACGATTCATCTTTCCCGTCCACCACTCGCTCACCCGCACTCCCCTGGCGTGATGCTCGCGTTTCCCGAATCTGCCCTTTCCCCTGCGACTCTCTCTCCCCGTCTCTCTCTTCATCTCCCGTTCTTGAGAATCCACCATCGTAAAACATCCTGCCAGGGAATCAGGGGGGCTCCCAACTTTGACATTCTTCTCGCCCATCCAGAAAAGACATGTCCCAGATATAACGCATTAAGTTTCCCATTGATCAGCCACCCCTCCCCATCTCGGGCCTATTTTTGTGTGTTTCTTTTGAGCGTGTGTATGTGTACGCGTGCGTGTAATGTCCGTTTCGGATAGGTGAAGGCTCTCTCGGTAAGGCACAGCTCCTCAGCCTCAGCCTGAAGATGCCCATCTTCCCTTGAAACGCACACGGCGGCCGCGTGGACAAGTCGTTCTCCACCACCACCACCGGCCGCCGCCTTAAGCGCCCCTTAAGCGAAGTTGTCAGTCCTGTCGACCCAGATGTCCTCGAGCTCCGCAAAGCTGTGGAAGTGCACGGGACGGTGCTGGTCGCTGTAGAACGGTAGCGGCGTGTCGAGCTTGACGTGCACAGGCTTCTTCTCCATGCCCGCAAAGGCCGAGCCCATGAAGCTGTAGTTCCACATCCCGTTCTCGGGCACGAGGAAGAAGCCGCGGAAGCGTGGACTCAGCAGGAGCTTGCGCTTCTCACCCATAGTCGTCGTGAAGCCCTGGGGCTGGTCGCTCTGCGTGTCCCTGTTCTCGGCACCCCACTTGTAGCCTGTGGGGGTGAGGCCCCAGGCTGAGAGGGAGACGGAGCCGGGGGTAAAGGCCACGTTGACGGTGACAGTGTCGTGCTTGTCCCAGGCGGAGCTATGGGCGTCGAGGAGGCGAGCGTGTTCGGTGACGTCGGCGGCGGACATGTAGGGGAGTTCTGCACCCGAGGCGGTGTGGATTACGCCGAGGGGTTCCATGCCCTCGAGGAATTCGTGCTGGGGCAGCTGTTGGGGGAGCTGGACGTTGCGCAGGCCACCAATCTGAGGGATCATGACAATGCACTTGATTTCCTTGACCTGATCGTTGTCCGGGGCGGAGGATCCGTAGAGGTAGCCGGCGACCTGGACGCGGAGGTCGGCGATGGTGATGAAGCGCTTAAGGATGTTGTTGGGCATCACGTAGGTGATCTCCTCGAGGTCGTTGTCGACAGACGAGACGTAGATGTTGTTTGCCTTTGTGCGCAGGTTAGACGTGGCGATGGCACGTGTGCGCCACTCCGTCTTGGAGGCGAAAGTCTGCTGCTCGAATTGAGACGTTGTCGTGACGATGATTTCCTCGCCGTGGACGTTTTGTGTCTTTGTCGTCACAGCCGTGAGCTGCTGCTGCTCCTGCTGCTGCTTCTCGATCTCGGCAGCTTGTTGGCGTTGCATGGAGGGCGCGGAGATCTCCATACCCAGGATGATGTCGCGGACTTCGCTGCTCGTAAGACTGGAGACGTTGACATTGTTCTTCTTTCCGTAGTCGTTGAGGATGAGATCGCGCAGCTGCGTCTCGACCTTGATCCAGTCCTCGTCGGAGAGCGTCGGCCAAATATGGTGGTCCTGGGTGATGACCGTCTTGTCCGGTCGCAGGATGAGCTTGGTCTTGTCCGGGTTGACGTGGAGGGCACGCAGGATCAGGATGAGACGGGAGAAGGCGGTGTACGACGAGATGCTCTTCAACCACTCATCATAGAGGTTGAAGAGTACCATCTGCGGCTCGGTGGCGCGAAGAATCATATCTCCCAACTTCTCGACCTTCATGGCTGCCTGGAACGGCAGTTGCAGCTCGGATGCTCTGATGGCGATGTTGGGGAAGTCGAGCAAATGGACTTCCAAGGGATCCAAGAGACCCTTGCGGGTGACGATGAGCTGCTTCGGTTGCTCTTCCACGGGGAGAGAGCGGATGAGCGCCGCTACTTCTTCAGCAGTCTTCCACTTTGCCAACTGTCCAAGACGCTTCTGACCAGCCCAAACGCTCGTGTGAATGATCTTCAAGAACAGCTGACCGGTTCTGGGGTTGAAGATGAAGATGGCACCGTTGATGGGCTTGGTGGTCAAGTTACCCTCAAAGGTCTTGTGAATTGTTACACGATAGACGTTGGTATCGTCAATGAAGAGCTGCGTCTGGTTGCTGAAGAGTTCAGAGTAGTTCTGAGAGTTGAGGAACTCCTGGTTGCTCTCTGAGGCGTAAAGCTGCAGACCCTTGCGGATACGCTCTCTCAGGACGTAGAGAGCCGGGTTGGCCTTCATAATCTTGGCCATGGCCTGCTGAACGAGGACCTTCAGACCAGGGAAGTACATGCCGTAAGCAGAGTACAAATTGTAAGCCAGATCGATACCGATCATGAGACCAGTTGCTGAAGGGTAGATACTGGCGCTGTCCGTAGTGTAGTCGAGGTACTTGGCACGAGTGTATCTCTCAATGTCGTGGGAATCGTAGTCACCGTATCTGAGCTGGACATCGATCCAGAACTTGTTCGTAGTGGTGGGCTCAATAACATCCTTGGTGTCAAACAGGGGTGAAGGTCGAGTGACATTCCACTTGTGACTAGCAAAGAGAAGAATGTCGGCACAAGAACTGTTCATCT